AGTTGCCTGTGGCCAACTAGAAGTGAAACAAAGGATGATTTCCCTAATGGTTTTGGAAATTTTCTTCAGCTTTAACCTTTAGTACTCTTTAGTTTGTGCCTTTGGAGTCACCCCTGAGCCTTGTCTGATACTGCTTTCTAGTAGAAACAACTGCAGTTTAAAATGTGAGTAGAATATCAGTGCCCTGAGCATGGAAACAGTCACAGTCTGCAACAACAAAAGCCTGACCCACTAAAATTTCACTCAAGGGCTTCAAAGAAAATAATCAAAGCTTAAAAAAGCATATCCTTAAATCTGTCTTATAAACCTTGGCCTAAGATAAGCAAGTACAAAAGAAGGTCAGTCATTCCTGAGCCAAGGCATAGACTTACTACTTTATTTTAATGTCCTCAGTCCTACAGTATTCTAATAATTCCCTACTTCATCCTCTTAGGGATAACAATGTTTTCCCTACTTTTTATTTTTAATCTTTACTGTCTCCTGTCTCCTTCTTAGTGAATATTTACATGGCAGCTAACACAATTGAACCTCATCCTTGACTGACAGATTTTCTATTAAAAGAAGAGAGAATGGAAAAGAAAAAAATTATTTCACAAGAAGACATCCATGCAAATCCTCCTTAATTTGTATGGAGTGCATCAGGCTATCACACAGATATTATACATACATACACACAGAAATAAAAAATGATTGAAAACGGGTTGAGAAAAGCAGCTAACTATGCTGAATTTTATAAAAATCTGTCAACCTAGTTGGCTGCTCATAGTGTACCAGGATCACTTGTGATGCCTTTGCAGACTCTGAGCTGTCATTCAGAGACTGGGTGAAGATGCTGATGCCTTAGGAATAAATTCAAATTATTACTGTGATGGCGATGTGACCATTCCCATGCTCTCTTTGATAATGTTGCAGATATTGCAGTGACACACATTATCTTCCCAGCTGCTAACACATCTCAAGAGACAGAGGGGGAGGGGGTAAAGTCCAACCCCATGTATAGTATTTTATCTAGAAAATGAAGTTTTCCTTGCGTTATTCTCAGCCAAACAAGTAGGCAGCCTGACTTCCACGGGAAATATCTTGTCCTCATGCAGACAGGTGTCTGTATCACCACCGTGCTAAAGATTAAAGGTTAGGTTTTGCTCTTGTTCTTACAGTGGGAAATGCTTTATTCAGCATTCAGTCCCACAGGGGTAAAGCACATTGAAAGGGATTGTCCTCTAATGGAGGGAGAAAAGAATGTCATGTCACTCTAGGCATGCCCTTAGGAAATCAGTTTGCCTCATAGGAGCTCCAAAGATGTGTCACTGAGTGCCAGAGGACATGCCTGTTATGTATTTTGCCTAATCTAATAGGGCTTTTATCTGATATGTCTTGAGATCTCCCTACTCCTGTTAAACAAAAAATTCTCGGAGTAAAAATTTCATCGTTGTGTCAGTGTGCTGTGAGCATGCATGAATAGGAATGGGAATACAAAGTGTCTTGGGAATACAAAGTGCCTCTGAGGAGGTTTATGAACAATTCTCTGAGCAGCCTGGTCTAGAGCAAGATGTCCCAACCCATGGCAGAGGGGTTGGATGATATTTAGAGTCCCTTCCAATCCAAACCATTCTTTGATTATTTTGGGCCCTTTGTAGTGTCTGTTGGGGATGGAGCAGTTCTGTTAAAGCATGTTTGGGAACCCCACTGTGATGTTCTCTTCTACCACAGACACATTCCTAAAGGACGCATTGGACTGCCATGTCCAAAAGACTCAGTTAATCACCATGACTACAAAATAGGTAAGAAAACACACAAATAAATGTGAAAATGTCCTTGCCCATGGATATCTACGTCTGTGGGGTAGCTTAGAGTTACAAACTTCATGAGTAAAAACACATCCTAAAGAAATCACTAGAAATGGAAATTGGAACTTTCATTAACTAGTAGAAATCCAGAATTTAGCTTTTGAAAATGAATGTCTAAGAGTAACAAACTTTATTGAGTAACAAACTTTAATAAATTTATGGTATTTTTTCGATTCTCACCAACATTCAAAGATGTCATAATCTGAAAATATAGCTGGGATTGCTGAGTTTCTGCAAAGAGACTAACATATTGAAAGCTTGGAATAGTCTTTTCCCATTTTTCCTTCTGTAGTTTCCATCTGTAATGACCTCTAACATTTCCTCTTTTTCTGCTTCTTTTATATCCATTCTGAAAGACATAACAGTCCTTGCAGGGATGTTAAAAACCCCACAAAAGCAAAACTAGACAAAGAAAAAACACCACCAAAAAAAAAAAAGACCAAAGCAAAAAAAACCCAAGCAATCAATCAACCAAAAGCATACTGCACAAATAATTTAAAACCACTTTCTCAACTTTTTCTCCCCCTGGTTGTCAGGACCTTCCTTGTGGAAGAACATATTAATAAATATATGTAAATCTAAGAATAAGGCTTATAACAAATAGTGTGTTTTTCTCTGTCTTTACCAACCTAGCAGAAAAATTATACTGTTATACCATTGTGAAACAACAACAAAAAAACAGCCTGCCTGTGTGCACAGGAGGAAGTTAAAAAATGAGTGTTGAAAAGTACACAGTGCTGATGCTTTTAATTTATGGACCCAGACACTACTACATCAAAGTAAACAACATCCTTTATGACTTTTAAACATGCACACTATTTCAGGTTGGATTCCAATGAGTGTGAAGAGGGTGACATTATTTTCAGTGCTGCTCCACATCATTAAAGAAAACAATGCTCAGAAACATCTTTCAGCAGCTTTGCTTTCTGGCTTTCACTGGTGCCTGTGCCTCTCGTCAATCAATAAAGAAAGCAGCAGGGAATTTGTCACTTGTGAAAGAAAAGAACAGACTAAAATAAAAACAAGCAAAAATGAGAAAGGGGTGGTAAGAGAAAAACAAAAAAGACTCTAAGATTGCTTAAAGAAGTGTAAATGGTTTTCCCCTGACATACTAATGATAATTCACAGCTGGGTCTCTAGAACAGAAAAAAAATTGAATGAACCAGGACAAACAAATTCCCTGTGGATGCCTTTGATGATTCCAATAATCTTTTGATTGTGGAATTGATAAAGGTAGTAACATTGCTGAAATCATTGCTTTTTAGACTTCTGGGAAGCATTAGATTTTGTAGCATATAGCATATTTTTCTTAGGAAACTAAAATTATAATAAATCAACATGGTCAATATTAAATGGATGGGAATGTGATTACACCGTGCATCAAAGGATGAATGCATTTGTGTAGCTTTTTGCAGGCAAAGCTTTTACTGATTATCTGAGGAGATGCAAACTGAGTCTAATCATGTTCTGAGCTATAGGTCCCTATGATCTTCAGCTGCTGAATTTCCTGCCTATAGTCAGTGATCCTGAGCAGTAATTCTTAGGTAAAGTACTATGTCTCCTTTTCTGTATGCAGTCCAGGAAAAAAACCTATGACATCCTCTTGGAGATTTGCTAGAAGCTCTGGAAATATGCCAATCCGTTGCAGAGCCCAGTTTTTACACTTTTTGATGATTTAGAGATTGTGTAGCTACAAGAATGTTAGGGTGATTTAAGCCCATTGTTGTGGTTTAACACCAGCCAGTAACTGAGCCACTCACTCTCTAAGAGTGGGATGGGGATAAAAATATGTTCTCAATAATTTCCATTAGGCCTTAACCTCTGTGTGATGAGTTGGGAAGTGAACTGTCCCTTGGTCATTTTGGAAACTCTGGTCCCATTGTGACAGGAATTTTGGAAAAAAAAATATAAGCATTTTAGAAACTCCAGTGATAAACAACCTGAGGATAGAAGTTTTATGGATTACTTAGCCACATCATTTTGTGGTCCTATAAAAAGTGGCCCTAAGTGGGGCCCTTAAGGTCCTGAACCACAGGATGTAGTTCCAGGACCTCTTTCTGAGTGGCACACCTCTCAAAACTCACAAACCCTCGAGCTGGAAATACTTGGTGGGCCATCACCCAAAGTTGATGATGAGGCCTGGGCTGATATCCCAAGTCCTTGAAGCTAATTAATCCTAAGGCTGTTGAGAGATGCAAAGGCACCTGATGTGAATAATTCTGTGAACTTTAGGGGATTTTTTTTCCCAGTATACCTTTGTACCTTCTTTATGTCTGTATGTGAATTGATGTAAATACCTTATAGCATCTACAGCATAAATATTGCACTCCCAGATCTAAAATTGTCACTGTTGTAATTGTAGTAAATTCTGTCAATCATCTTATAAAAATTAACTTAGTCATTTGATTAAGTGCTGTTAAATCCTTTAGACAGAAACCATTGGTCAAGTCTGAGTTTAAGTTTGAAAATAGGATCCACTCTGAAACTTGTCACTCAGTGGAAAGTTTGCCTTTACCTTGTCCTCTTTTCACCCTCACCCTTTCCATCCTTACCCTTAATATCTCAAGCCTCCACATCACTCATTTTACATTTATTCTTATCTGATTTTCCTCTGTGTGTTTCATCCATGCAGTAGGGAGAAGAGTGAACTTTGCCATTGAGCTTTGTTGTCCATTTACAGATTTTTATCAGACCTAGTTTTCCTGATACCTTTGCTAGTGATTTCTTTAAGTAGACTAAACAACTAATTTGCAACAAATTAGTGTAGTCATCAAGATGCTAAACCAGGATTCATGACAGTGTGTTTAGTTTGGGGCAATATTTGGAGAAAATAAAAGAAAATCACAGATGTGCTAACATATTCCGCAGCAACTGCAAGAAAATAGATCTCACTGAAGGATAAGAAGCATCATCTGCAGTAATGAATAAGGATTAAATGAATACTGTGGAATATCCAGTGTAAAGCAGTTGCCATTAGTGTTTTAGGTACTTTGCCTATCATGTGAAAACATCAGGAGGTATATCCTTTCTACAGGTGTGAGGCAGCAGCAACCATAAAATGATTAAGAAAAAGTCAAAAATATATTTTAGTCCTTTGTCATTCCATGCTGACTATAAAAAACAAACAGGGTCTGTGACACCCATTATTCATCCCACTCCATTTCAAGATCTTCCATTTGGCACTGTAACATCCTGGCAAAACACCTAGAGCTCTTCCACTGAAAGTCAAATTCTCCCAAAAAGGTGTCCTGGGTATATTGTAAAATGGGGCTACAGATATGCTCTCTATTACAGGAACAGAAAAGTTGAGTCCAAGGTAGCTGATGAAAACCAGGGAAAGAAGAAAAGGAAAGTCCATTTAAAAACAATCCTCCTATATTAATTTGCTCTTCTTTTACTCCCATATGCACTGAAATTAAGAAGAGTCACCTTATTTATTTATTTATTTACTTATTTATTTATATGTGTGAATAGCTTCCATTGTTGAGAATTAAAGATTACTGGATACGAGTATCAATAAATGTTTACATGTAATCTAAAGAATTATGCATATGTCTGTGTCAGAAGTGTAATTCTGTGGAAATGTTCTACTTTGTTTTTATGGGTTTGGCCTAGAGCCAGTTTATTATAATTTCTTATCACGTTCCATCCCACCAGCTGAATCATCATCTTATCACATCTCAGGCTACAGCTGTAAATGAACAAATTCTTTCCAAGAAAATGTGATTGTTCTTTTCCTACTCTTTTATTCTTGTAATATCTCAAGGTTAAAGAAGCACATTGTAACAGTGGAGAATCCTCTTTGTGTCTCTTTTATTGCAATCTGCTTTCCAATGATCACCAATAAAAAATGTTAAAATAAAAAAGAGATATGGTTTTATAGCTGAAAATAGTTTGAAGATCTTGAGCAGGTAAGATTTGCCTGTAAAAGGGACAATTACTTAAAATATTTAGTGAAAATATATCAAACATTAAAATTCCAGTGAAAAACCCCAAAGAACACAGGTTCATGAGAAGCTTGCCTGGTTTATGGATCTTAAAATATCTTAAGCAAAAAGTTTTACTTTTTAATAATTATAGAAAAATCTAGTAATTGAGTCCTATGAATACAAGTAATGAAAGAATAACTTGCTGATTCACCAATAAGTCAAGAATAAAAGTGAAAGTTACCGTTAAAAATAATATTACTTAGAAATATCAAATAGAAAAGAAATACTTTCAAATTAAATAATTTAGCAAAAAAAAAAAAATTGCCAGTCTTGATACAATACTGGTCAAAGGATATTTTGAAGAAACATAATATTGATTATAAAGTGTTAAATCCTAAGCATTTCTTTTACAGAATGGAATTTATTTTATTTTTCTTCAGAGCATACATGAAAAACAAAATGTCAGTCTCAAGATATTTCTATAACTATTTAAATTCCCTCACACTGAATTTTAAGATACAGAGGCAGGTTTTGTGCAAAGATATCTGCTATGTAATATCAGTATTTTAAGGATCAGATTTGCATAAAAACTTTTAGAAGCAAAGACGAAGACAAATATGGGACCTTCTGCTCTCTGAGCACTTATTTACTTTTATATATTACACTGCAGGTTATAAGTCTTCCTACTGCAGTTACAGGAATATAAAGAAGTTGGCTTTTGGATCCCTGTTTTGGAGACATGGCAGAAAGTGTGAGCATGGACAAGGAGAAGAAATAGAAAGAATTGTCATATCTCCTTTTTGTTTGTTGGGGTTGCTAGAACTTTCCGACCTCTTCTACCATCTTCTTTGTTTGGCCTTGAGCAATAAACACGGAGCATAGATGAGAAGGTGCGCAGCTGAGGGAGGTTAGTGATTGTCCATGAATTTTTACAGGAGGGAAAACACTGGATTTTAGGGAGGAAGGATTAGAAGTTCCTAACAGATTGTTTGAGCAACCCACGTCCAGGAGAGACAGAGCCTCACAAATCACTCAGCTGGTGCAGAAGCTGAACTTGAGCGTTGCCCATTTCTCCTACTGACCTTTATCAGAAAAACAAGTTTCTACTATTTGCAATCATCATGACTGTTACATGTTTTGACAAGACCAACTAGCCTCCACAGACTTCACCTACCTATGATTTAAGTAGCATTCCTCAGCTGGAAAATTTTTATTAATACTCAAGTGACACCAGACAGTATTTCAGGGTCCAAATTCAGTTCTAATAATCCTTTTTTTTGACACAGTCCTGATAATTCTATTTTTATTTCACTGCTTAGGTAGAAAAAACAAGACATAATTTTGTTCCCCATAAAACCAATTGCCATCCAACCAATATGTGTTCTTGTAATTAGATGTAGAGCGCCAGTACACCTCACAGTGACTCTTAGAGAAACCCTGTTCATGTTGGTGGTTCAGGCTGAATTTATATATGTTCATCTGAGCGCTAAGTGTGGCACTAAATAACTAAGCTTCTTCTGCTCTTAAGGAAAGCTCTACGGTTCAAATCAGAATGGATATAGAAATGTGAACATATTGAAAAAGACTGAAGTGGAAATAAAATACAGCAAAAACAGGTGTTATTTCAAGGTACAAGAAGAAGATCATCAGTTCTATACAGAACACTGAAGATAAACAGTCACCCTGGTAATTTTGATCTGACCTCAAGACATTTACAGAATACCAACTGTAAAAAAAAAAAAAACCACCAAAAAATACCCCAAAAAAAACCCCCAAAAAACAAAGCAAACCCCACAAAAACAAACAAGCAAAAAAGAAAAACACCACCAAAAAATAAAAGCAAAAGTCTTCATCCACAGTTGATTTGTTTGACACATTTTCTGGGCCAATTATGTACTGTTTTCTATCATGGCATTAGTTTTCTTAACTTTCTCTAAGCTTTATCTTAAACATTTCTTTATCTTTAACATATCTTTAACAATGTGCCACAGGGCAAAAGAAAACAGGTGATTAGAATCTATTCTAGTTTTCTCTGTAAGGGCTAGAAAAGTGCACACCATCTATTAAAGGTAATTCCTGTTTTAAGGAGCCTGTCTCTCTCTTCCTGATTTGGGGATAGATTCACTTCATTTCACTGTAATCAATTGCAAGTCGCATACTTAAGCTAAGCTACCAGACAAAACTCAGAACATGTTGGAGACAGTCGTCACATGTTCAGTGGGTCTATCTCCTAATGGGGTCACATTTACATACCTGCAGGGAAAATCCATAGAGTATACTTGAACCAGGCATCCAATTTTTGGATGGTAGAAGTTGGGTGAAAATATCTACTCTCCCTTTCCAGCTTTAGTTGTGACTTCATGATGTTCATAAACATGAAATTGTGAGAGGCAAACTTTAAGTTACATCTAACAGATGTTAATTTTTGCTGGGCCTTGTGGTTGCCATCCCCAGTGCTGCTCTAATACATAAACAATAATTCTGGTTTAGTCCAGATTAGTGTCATGAATTTACATGTGATTGAAGAGCAAATGAAGGTTGAGGGTAGGTAGGATCGTTCCAAGGGACTTGCACTCCTTTTTCCCCTATGCTTTTAAAAGATTCTTGAAATGCTATTTTATTGTCCTATCTTTTAATCTGAATGGGAAAAAAAATCACAAAAAACAAACCCAAAACACAAACCAAAATCCTTAGTAAGATCCCTTCACTTCTATGCTTTTCTTGCCATTTACATGTAGGCAAAATATACTCATTTAATTTTTGGACCAAAAATGAAGCACTTCTAGAAAGTAGCATTGATCCATTCAAGTATTCAATAAAAAGGCACCTAAGACATTTTTAAATATTGAAAAGAATCTGAAAGCTTTTGTAATGCTATCCAAAGAGGGATGAAACATCATATTTCATGTGATATTCCATATGAAAATTCACTATCCAAAAGAACAATAGACCAAACAATGTAAAGAAGAAAAGAAAACCTTGAACATTTGAAGCCTTCAAATGTAATGAGAAAGTGCCAGCCAAAACCACCCCCTCTAACCTTTCACCTTCAGAAGGGAGAAAGGAAGGAAGCTGCAAAGGAAGAAGCAAGTTGCTTGTGTTTTCTTAGATTTAATGACATTCAGTGTGATCTTTAAGAATACTGAAAAATAAATGTAATTTGGAAAGTTCGTTTTTTGACAAAAAATATTTAGAAGAACAAAGAGAAAATAAAAGAATATATGTTGTTAGATGGGTATGTACAGATTAGTTTCTTAATTAAATAATCTTTTAGTGTTTGAGTTCTTGATCTGCATGCAAGATGTCAAACAACCTCTCATTGCCCCTGATTATTTCAAGAGTTGGCAGTGCCTTTCCAGAGAGAAAAAACAAGAAGTATAATTTGAGTCTTTGATAACATTTATTTTTCCTCAGATCACTGAAAGCCTTTCCTTTAATGATACTATTTTCAGCTAGATGATTGATATGTTGATAATAAATATTCCATGAAATTGGTTGTATTTCAGTATTGAAATATAGCCTCTCTGAAAAGTCCAGTCTATAAAGGATGGTTTAGAGGAGTGTATCAAATATCAAAGTCTGTTTGCTCATTGCTCTGCATGTTGCTGGATTATTGATGACTTTTGAAAGGAAATGCAAAGAACAGCTATCCTGATTTTTTTCCCCCTCCTGTATTACAGAAGATAACTATTCCTCTAGCTTTCTCTAGGATTTCTGCTGGGACTGTTATCATTTTGCTCATGGGATGCCATCATACTCCCTGGAAGAAAAACTTTACTTTTGGTAGCAGAATTTGCCTAACAACGTTTTGGGTAAAGCAATGCAAGGGTATGAAAACTCTAAACAAGCTGAGGCTTGAGGATTGAAGATAAGAACATCTATCAAACTGATCTTAGAAACACCATCCATGATGCAGAAGCTGCTTAACATTTTAGTCACCTTTAAATCAGGGCGTTTACATATGGTTTTCATGGTCTGTGAAGCCAACAAAATAACAGCAAAACTTGACCCAAGAGACCTGGATGTTTTTGCTTCCATTTTATTTATTTAGTAGATCTTTTTATCCTTTCGTTTTCTCAGAGCCATTGTGTGGAGATCTATACTATTTGAACTATAGGAGTAATGTAGGAGTGTTTCATACTGACTGTGCTTTTCTTCTTCATAAGTTAAAAAAATGTCAAAAAGACAGGATATGTAGTTAAGTTTACTAAAAAAGATAGTAAAAGATAATTTGGTAACTAAAACCACATTTCTTGAAGAACAAGAATTATTTCCTAAGCAAGATATTATTTAATTATTAAGTCAGTTGTTATTATGATTGTATTTATTTTAAAGGAAACACTTTGTGGCCATAAGATAAACTGTAATTGTAAGTATTGCAAGTGACATTTAGTGGCTTAAAAATCAGATTGAGGTAAATTAAAAGTTGAACAGAAAGTTTTAAGAACCATTTTTTGGTTTTAGAGTGATACTTTTAAAAACTACAATATATGTACCTGCATATATAGTTACATATTATATATTTAGAGTCCTCCTTTGGAGCAAAAACATGCTTGAAATACCCTTTTATTTTTTGTGTTTGCTTTCGTGAATTGACTTTTGGATTTTTTTCTGATAATTTATTAGCCATGTTATTCAAAAATCTTGAAAGCAATACAGACCTCAGAAGGGCTGTCTTTTCAATGTTATTTTCAATTTGTTCATTGTGGTTATTTGCATTCCAATTCTTAAAAGTCTTGTGAGATCTCAGTCCAAAGGTATGATTTTTTTCATTCTTCATAACATTTCTGGGATGCCCCTCTTTACAGTAGTTAATCGGGAAGGAATATTGTTCTCATGATGGCCTTTTTTCTCTTCTATAATATTAAAGATATTAGATCCAGGTTCCTTGCTCTGATGATGCCACTTTGATCTCTACTGCATATAGAAAATGCATAAAAAGACAAAATTATTTTCATATTGCTTCGGGGGATCGGTATTCTGCAAATAAATCAGGGATGGGCTATTTCCTTTCCAAACACATATGGCTCCAAATCTTCCTCTTGCATAAAGTATTATTCTATAATCTGTGTTTTGTATGATAAAATCATAACCACTACTTCTCTACTGTTGACTGAATTCCTCTGGAAATCCAGATAGGCATAATGATGCCTAAAAGGCTTTGGAGAGTGCTTTAAGAAATAAAATCATGCAGCTCCTCAAAGTTCACAGGAGTAGACTGGCCAAGACAGGAATTAGACCCTCTCTCATGAGCAATATTTGAAAAGCTTAGCCAAGAGGGACAAGCGTCTTGCAATCTCCAGAAAAAAAATCTTCATCTGTTTGCAGAAATTGCTCTTTTATTCTTTTTTTTCTTTTTTTTTTTTTTTTCCTTTTTAAGTATTTTTTTTCCTTCTGTTGGGTTTTTTCTATTTTGGCCTTGGAAGAATTGCTTTTCTTCATCAGACTTACTTGGCATGCAAAATAATCTGCCAGCTGCTTCAAGTCTTTGCTGGGCACATATCAAAAACCAGTTTGGATGCCACCTGTTTGATTACTCATCTAGTGATGCCGATTCCTATTTTGCTTGAATGTGCCATGAATGAAATAAAGAGAAACACAATATATTTTGTTTCTCTAAAAAATTAAGTTGAAGAAATGATAGTTAAAGACGGCTGATCAGAACATGCTGTCTCACCAGTTAAATAGCTATACTGAATTTGAAATGATAGTCAATATTGACTGTAACACCTGAACTTCTCAAATCTCATACTATTTTGCATACCATGTCCTTTTTTTCTTCAGTTGTAGTATTTTTAAACACAAAATGAAAAATGCCTGTGCATGCTATTTGTAAATTGCCATATTTACTTTCATTTTTATCTACATGCATTTATGTATAAGTGCAGATATCTTGTAAAAATGATAGCATTTTTGAACAATATTTGTATACTGTTTCAGCTGAGTTACTTGCAGTGTTATCAAAAAAAAACCCAACCAAAAAACATAGAATAATCTAAAAAGAACCTACATCTATTCAAGTACATGATTAGAATAGGAAGGTCACTACAACTTTAAAAATCCCTCTCAGCTGTAAAGGGGACCTATATTCAGTAATTCAGGTGTAGATCCCTAGATTGCAGAAGTTTGATCATAGGAATATTAAGGCTATTATTACTGGAACCAGAGGGTCTCAGGAAGTTTGGATATATTTAAAACAGAAATCTTGAAAGCCCACAAGCAGACTAGTCCTATGTACCAAAGATGAGCTGGCAGGGAAGAAGATTGGCCAGACTGAGCAGGGATCACTTGCAGCCGCTCAAGAACAAAAAAAAAAAAAAAGAAAAAAAGGAGTAGGAAACCCAGGCAGAGTTTAAAGACATCATTAGGACAAAAAAAAAAAAAAAAAAAAAA